TTTATTTATTGTTTTAATATGTTGTAAGCTGCCCAGAGTCCCCCACTGGGGGGAGATGGGCAGGGACAAGATAAACAAACAAACAAACAAACTCCAATGAAGATTTGGTCCTTCTGCTTTTCACCCAACTAGTGAGAATGGTATGGACTAAGAGCAGAAAAGGAGTACATCAGGAGTGTGAGCTAATAAGCAGGACCCTAAATAGATACCTTGGTTTTATTAGGCTATTGTAATGTCTGTAATTGGCTGTGATAGTCAATTATTTATAGAGATCTGTACATATTGATCCAAGCTTGGGTACAGAGGTTTCTACTTTGGATCTACAGCAGTGTTTCCAAGTTCTGTTCTCCAGCCACTATTTATATTACTGTTTTATGAATGCCTGTATAGGAAGTCAATGAGTAAATTTGTTTGGGAATGAGGGGGCCCACCTGGCCTTTCAGTGATGCGCCAAGGATTGCCCTCCAAAATTTGATTTAATCTAAATTTAAATTAAGTATAGTTGAAATGACTAGTCCCTGTGTGTTTGAGGACTTCCCTCTTCTATTTCATTAGTAACTTTTGAATGGATTCTAGGAGCTGTGGCTCAGCTTTTCATCACTGGTGAAAGAATACTCTTCCAACCAATTGTCTTCCAGATGTGTTGAACCACAACTCCCATAATTGCTGATTTAAACTTATGGGAGTTGTAATTCTAAGCACCCATGGTGGATAAAAAATAATTATCATGGCACCTCAACCAGCAGGTGACATTAATTAAGACAATTAACTTTTGCTTAAAAATATGAATGGCCACTTTGATCAGAGTGGTGGAAATAGAGATTGGAACCAGCACTTGGAAGAAAATAGTATTTTTTTTCCCATCCCCCAAGTCATTTGAAAGTTACTCTTAAGCACAGAAGGGAAATTGCTGCTTGAGCTATTATTCTGCCATGAGCTAAATAATAAACAAATTGATCAGATGCCAGTCTTACACCTCTACCCTTCTCTTTAATTTTGTTACAGAGCTTCCTCCTTCAATTGCCACCAGTAGAGCCTGCTTGCCTTTCCAGCAGGGGAAGATTCCTCTCCACCCCGTCTCCTATAGCAATGGCTGTGGGGTTCCCCCTCAGGCTTCTGTGAAGCAGCAGCAGCCCCAGGCCTCAAAGAAGCAGCGGATCAGCTCCACTTCCTCTGTTTGTACCAGCAGCAGTAAGAAGAGCTGCAAGTCAACAGCTTCTCAGATTCAGGAGGTGGCCGGGGATGGTGAGTTCACAGAGGGAGGACCTGGTAGGGAGGCTGCTGAAGAATGAGCACTGAGGGGTAATGAGGAAGAAACAGCTGCCGTTGGTTTCTGGGTCAAGACTTAGAAGCAAAAATGGGAAGTCTATCCCATAGGAAGACTCTGAAAAGAGATGAGAGAGCAGGACAAAACAACTGGTGGACTTCAGGAGCTTCTCATTTGGCCCCTGATAACTTTTCCAAGGGCAAGTGGATACTCCAGCAGAGGACTGAGGTGCATCTGGGAGGGAGGCCAGCAGCTTCAAAGTGGCAGGTGTGACTGAGCAATCAAAGCTCCGCCCTTTTTAATGTGTGTTTTACACATCACATTCATGTAAAACAGGGCAAGGTTTTGATCACCCTGTCAGAGTCTGCACACTCATTCCCAAAGTTCAGTAAATCCTGTGGACTCTAATTAGTTCCATTACAGATTTCTTTATTGAGAGAAAATGCACAGCATCTATAAGTTGTTGAGTCTAAGCCTTGCTAAGCAAAAACCCTTCCTTTTAACCCCTTTTCACCCCCCTTCTACTTTCTTTTCCCGCTTGAAATTCCTTTCTCATGGTTGCTTGACCTTGTTGGCGCCTCTGCAGAGATAATGGTAGCACCTGGCTTTGCTTCCTCCCCCCTTTCTCCTGACTTTGATGGCAGGAACCAGCAAGCAGGC